AGACATAAAAACACTTGTATTTTGATTTAATTCCTAGCTCTAAGAATTTTGAGCAATCTCTGTTTTTTTGTAAGCCAGCCAGTCTAAACTAGCCTTGCTACAGTAGGCTGAATGATATGAGAAGAAGAGTTAATGTACTATTTTAATATGTTTAAATTTAGTAGTCAATGTCTGGAGCAGATACCTTGTCATCTGCTGGAGTGTGTATGCGTGTGTGCATGCGTGTGTGTGTGTGTGTGTGTGTACATGCACATGCGCCTGTGTGTAAGCATGCATCTCTTACAACTTTATTTTTTTAATTACTCATTGGTTTGTATAGATTTAAATTTGTCTTGATGTTTGAGAAATTATGTTTATGATCAAAATTTTAAATTTTGCTAATATTTTCAGATTTCTTTGTCTTAGGTATAACAATTTCTTTCCATTTCTTCAGCATCTTTTCATCTGTATTTATTTTTTCCTTTTCTGTTTAATTGAAGTTCATCATGATTTTAGTGGTTTATCTGTCCTTTTGTTCCATAGATCACCCTTCTTATTTCTATTGTCTGATCCACTATTTTTTGCTTTAATCTTTAACTCCTTCTGCTTACCTGAGTCGTGTGTTTTCAGTTCATGTTGTAATCTTGTTATATTTTCAGAGGCATTTATTTAATCTTACTGTTTTCTTTAGACACCATTAGCCTTTAAAATTTTATTTTACGCGTAGACCCAGCAGTGTTATGCAGGTTCAAGCATTTCAATTTTTCACTATTCTTTTGAGGGCAATGAGCTTGAATTCATTCTTTTATCAAGGGTTAGTGACTTTTTCTTTGTATTGGCATTAGAAAATGTTGTGCGCTCTCCTTTTAATTTCTCAGTTCTATTAACAGTTTCATTATGATCTATTGTACAGTCAGTTATTTTTGCTAATATTCAATCATTCTAAAAAGACAATGCTATCAATTTTGTGCTGAAAATTCTGACAGGCATTAATACACCTTTTCTTGCACGAGTGCTGGACTTTCCCTAACATTTCCTTTCTTGGTCCCCATTCCACTCAATCCCGCAGTGACTTCTCGTTTGGCTGTGGCGACAGAGGCCACATCCTCACAGTGTTTAGAAAAAGACAAGATGAAAGAGTGTGTTGGCATGACTTCTGGCTTAGAAATATTTCCCTGTAAGTCAGTGAAATTCAGTAATTGATTTCATGACAGGTAAGCCATGAGACAAAGCAGTTTCTGCATTTTCAAGAAGCGTGACTCTTAGGTGAATTTCCCTTGCCATGCACTTACACACGCACATCCATCGCATGCAGATGCACAAAGCACAAGCAACTCAGAGCATCACAAGGCCTTTTGTGCTGCATCTGGAATAGCACCATGTAAGGACACCACTCTGACTCTGTGAGTCCTTCAGGGTCAGGGGCACTCAGCTTTCCCACACTCTTAGAGAATGCCTGTGTGCAGAAAGGGCTCCTTAAATCTGCACTGCAGCCTGGGCAGTTCCTTTGCTTTCACAGGAAACCAGATATGGACACTTCATGCAGCTTTTTCTCAATAAGCAGACAAGAGAACAAAAACACCCTTCTAAAAAAATATCACCTTCCTTTTGCTTTTTTTCATATAGGCACCTTGCATAAGTTGCAGATTCCTTTGCATGCTTAATATTTCAGCTTAAAATATTCACAGCAATTGAATAGCATGTCTAGCTTGTGTTATTTTTGCTGAAAAATACATGATCTTTTTGAAATTATGAGTGAAGTTATTGTGTACTATACTCCTTGTCAACAAAAATAATCATAAAATGATAATGCTACCTTAAGACAAATTCCAAGAATTCAGAAAAAAGAAAAACTTGCTGGAGAACTAATTCTTCTGTAACTGTCTCTCAGTCCTATAAACAACACAGATTCCACTTTGATACATGTCACTTTAAAAATACTACCTGTTTTAAATTTTTTCTTCATACTCTATTTCTCCATATTCTCCACCATAATCCTGCAAAACAGATTGTGCTATACCTATTTCTCATATAAACTGCATTATAGAAATTTTAAATAATTTGCTTAGAATGAGTGATAATAAGATAAGAGTCTGGATTTTAATTATCCTTGTATGTCACTCTAGACAGGTTTTCTATGAACCCTTATCCCATTGTATACTTCAAATTTTATTATGACTGCATGGCTGAAGAAACTATTTCAATAAAAAGCTGATATGACAGTGTAGATTAGGAGGTTTCCAGACTTTTTCAGGTCTGAAATTTAAAATCCCCTTCCTGACAGTTCAGTCAGGACCAGCGCTTTTCTGAGACTACTTTGAACACAATCTTTCACGGTGTCCTACCCAGTCCCATTGTACAGGCATATCTTAGACCTGTTTATCCTGCTGGGATGAGAATCATGCAGATGTCCAGGGCTCCTTGATTGGTAAACTATTTGACAAACCAAGATGGAAGGAATATGCCAGAAATGCCAGGGAAACAGCATCCAGTGCTGACCCTGTGCACTAGATTTTACATAAAGGAGAAGCAGTATAGAAATATACTGGAGCCAAGGAACAGTGCCCTGACACGCAGTGAGTCCGACAATGCAGACAGAAGTTCTAAGTCTCTGTCACCTGGTGGCAACTCCTTTGCACACCCCTGTGCCCTGCTACCTGAGCCACCCTCACTTACAGACTGCATATATCTCCAGGAGCTTTCATTAGATCTCCACCTGTTCTCAGATATATATTGGGGATAGAAACTTCAGAGCTAGTCTTAAGGTTATGGAAACAGACGGTGCACTTCTTTCCTTCTAGCGATGTATACTTATGCACCACAAAAGGTCAGAATAAACTTGCCCTTATTGTTTGCCTGATCAGCATGAGACAAACCATGTCAAGCACCACATATGGTACTTTTGAAAATTAAATACATACCTGGAAGTATGCTTGATAAGTGGTATAAATTCTGTAAATGTGTTAGCTTGTCAGTAGTCAGAGCAGTCAGAATGTCCTGGCACAGAAGCTCCCAATGTATTTTCAGCTATCACAAAGGAAGTGCCTTCCCCAGGTGCACACAGTATTCTCCACGAGTCAGTTAGGCAAGTGGTGAAAACAGAGTAGGGCAGTTCTCCTACATTCTTTCTTTGCTTACTCAATTATTAATAGATTTGTTGAAATTGTTCACTCAGGAATTGAATTTTTATTTTTCTGATTTATTGCTTATTGATTTGTATAGCAGGTGGGATGTTATTATGAGTACAATATATGAATAGCTACGTATTCCTGGTGAGCTATAATGTTTGTATTTGGTGCTGAACATAAAACCCAGGACCTTGTGTGTCCTCAAGAAACTCTATGCCACTGGGCGACATCTTCAGGCTTAATTGAATGTTTAAATATAATTTCTCTTTATTTCTAGAAATTTTAAACTTAATATAAATTTTTATGTCTGATAGTCATAGTACTTATTTTGTTCATTTTTCCCATGCAAGTTTGAAGCTTTCATATTTTATACTGTTAATGTTCATTTAAAATGTATTATTTAATTTTAATTTTAAGAAAATCTGACAACCTTTTCATTTTAGATTTAAATTACTTCTACTTAATTAAGTTATGGAGTATCTGTATTATGCATTTTCTATGTCAACATTCGGTGTAACTTTTGTTCCTTTCTATACATCAGTCTTGTGTATTTCCATGCCTTTATTCTAGTTTCAGTATTTTTACTGTTTGCACTTTTATAATCTCGTTTATTTTATATTGAAAATTTTTGCCAAAATCCTGTTGCTTGGAAAATATAGTAACTGATATCTTGGTATATATATTTATAAAGCACTGAATGCAAACAGTTATATATCTGATATGAAGATTTGCTGCATTGGAGCAAACATTTCTGTATTTATAATGGCAGAGATATCTATTTCTGTCATAGAAATTAGCAAAGTCATGGTTTCCATGGCCTTTAAGATCTGCGTCTGGGAGATTCGGCCACAGACAATTTGAGTGGCTGACAGTCACTGATATCTGTTCAGGAGCAGAAAAAGTTTCCACACTTCGTACATAATGGCACACACTGCTAGCCTTTAACCTTTAGCTTTCAACTCTGCATTTATTTGAATTAAATAAACATATATATTATGGCATAGATATTCTTCTGAATATTTTTCAAATACATAGCTTTTATCCACATATATGCATATATCATATAATTCTCAAATATATATACTTCCAAATATAGATAATTTCACATTAAGCTAAACAAGGTAAAAACATGTAAACATATGCACCTGGTTTTGGTCAAGTAAAGCAGAAATCACAATTTAACCACAAGGTAACAAGTGCACTTGAAAGGGAAGGAGGGAGAAAAACAGGCATGTAAACCGGCAGCAGCAGCGAGGACCTGCATAGGTCCAATTTTAAGGCTATTGTAGCAAAAAGCTTGTAATTTAATTAAGACACTTTCACCCTGTCACATTTGTTCTTGAGGGATTTCACAATGAGGGTGGAAATTCTGTAAACACTACACTAGAACTGAGTGAATCTTCTGAAAACAGACATGACAAGACAAGCCATCAACTGATAGCAATATTAATTTCACCCAACAGTAGTTTTAAGGACATTTTGTTTTTTTGACACTGCGAAACACCATAACACTATAGAGGGAATAAAGTGGGAAGACACAAGAAAAAAGAGAAATACTGCATAAAGTTTGCCTCAATAACTCTGAGAGCAATACATGGGTTAGTCAATAAAGGGAGAACAGGATTAGAGAGACACAAGAAAAAAGAGAAACACTGCATAAAGTTTGCCTCAATAACTCTGAAAGCAATACATGGGTTAGTCAATAAAGGGAGAACAGGATCAGAGAGAAACACTGAATAAAGAATGCTTCAATAACCCTGAAAGCAATACATATCAGTCAAGATAGGGAAAACAGGCAACAATGACAGAGCCTCAGGGAGATTAGACATATGCCATAGCATGATGTCACAAAATCGAATTGAAATAGTCTTCCATCTGACAATAAAACAAGATCTACTGGTCATCAGAGAAAGGAATACCATTTCTCAGTGCAAGAAACTTCTTAAACAACACCTTTGCCATGCGAAGTGTGAAAAGCTCGCCATTACTACTCTCGAAGAGCCTGTTACTCTCTTCCACACACACGGGCTCCAAAATCTGATGCCAGTATCCGCTGGATTCATCACCACCTGACCTGGGATAATGCACTTTCTGGTCATGAGGGTACTCATGCTTGTAAAAGCAGTTATCTCCAAATGGGCAATGACCCCTGCCCTCAGCAAAATACATACAGGGCTTGTGTCTCAGTGACTCCTTATATTCCTGAATAAGCTGCTCCTTCTCCTCCTCACCCTCTACCCAGTACACACTGGGAATGACAAAGCTGGAAGAGACCCTGCACTGTGGACAGGATTTACTGATTCTGTTCTCAAACTGTGTACCACTTCTCCATGTGCGAATACAAGAAAGACAGTAGGTATGCTTGCAGCCATAAAGGATACCAAAGCGGCGTTGGGCAGGCTGGTTTTTCTCATAGACAACCTCCATGCATATGCCACACACCTTGTCCACACTGCGTTGCACAGCAAATGAGAGTTCCATATCTCTCTCATGTGCTGCAATGCAGGCCCTTATGTGGGCTTCCCTCTGGTCAGCATCCACAGGGTGCAAGGCCTGCAGCCCGCACATGTCACATACATCACCATGGAGGTACATACATCTCTCCCCATAAATGCAATTCCCATTGGCAGCATAGCGGCAAAGTGGGACCCACATGCGTACAGGTATCTGCTCACTTGCAATCACTGGTGTCAGAAGAGGAGCTGGGAAGGCCTGTGCATAGACCATGAAACCTTGGTAGGGCAGTGCAGGAGCAAACTCAAAAGCACTCACCCAGCCTTCCATACCTGCTTCTCCTCCAGCAGCTTCAAATCCTGAATGGTCTACCTCAGCTTCAAAGAAATTGTTTTCAGCAGCCAACCCAAACAGAGGAAAGGAGCTTGAGGATGCAGCAGGTGGGGCCTCCAGCTCTTCCTCAGTGGGGGGCTCACTCTGCACAGCCACACTACGTACTCTCTCTGAAGAGGCCTGGGGATGCAAACCTTGGCTCTCCCTTGCCCTCTGCTGCCTAGCAAGGTCATGGGAGTAGCAACAATTCTCTCCCTCCTTGCACTGCCCATGAAGATAATACCGGCAGAGGATTTGCTTGGTCCAGCTGCCGCTGCTCCGCTCCTGCAGAGGATTTGGCCTAGCCCCACCCCCTGAGGCCTGGGCAGGCCGGGAGCCACTTGTGAGGGGCTGGACAGGACTCACAGCCATAGGGAGTGTGGCCCAGCCTTCTTCCACATGCAGAGAGGCCGAGCTTATTACCTCAGACACCCCAGAAGCCTCAGACCTGGGAAGGCTGGGCTGAGACACAACCTCCCCATCTCCCTCAGCACCTGCCTTGGCACCAGCGCCCCCATGGGCTTGAGAGAGAGCTGCAGGATCTTCCATGGCTTTCTAGCACCTAGGAAGTCTTTTAGGATTGCTCTGGTATCTATTCTTTCTTCTGGCTTGATTCCCGAAGCTTTAGCTTGTGTTCCGAGGTTTCTGTGAAAAAAAAGAAAAAAAAAGTGCAAAACTTTTTCTTCCCCCCACCTCCCAGCTCCTCTTAACTATTCCTACTTCCATTTTGGAGGACCTGGCATGGAGTACACTTTCTGTATGAACACCATTTAGGTACTATCTAGTTGCAGTTCAGAAAAGTAATATGTCCTATCTTTTGTTCATGAGAACAGTCATGGGCTGGAGGCCCCTTTCTCTGGCCTCTGTGACTTCCCTGCTCTGTATCAGCATCCCTTAATCTTCTCCTCCCCTTTTCTTCCCTACAGAGTAGGTCTTAATGGGATCTCATCTAGTTTTTATGTGTACTTAATTTTTCATGTTTGTGAAAATCAGAATCCTTGTTCTCCCCATGGCTTAGCAGTTCATCTTGTAGCTTCTGAAATTCTTCATAAATATTTTAATTGCCTCATCTCATTCATTGCATTTATGTCTATTCATATGTACTCTGGTTAAATCCATGCCCCTGCGTGCTGGAAGTCCTATGCTTTTGTTCTGCTGACAAGGCAGCAATTTTCTTGGTTTTTATGTTCTCAGACCTCTGTGGCCTAAGCTGAATATGCTTTTCACCAGACAAGCATTAACAGGGAATGTTCCTGATGTGAGACTAGTCGGTGCCTTCAGGCTCCTTCCTTTTTCTAATTTCTAATGAAACTGTCCATTCTGTAGAAGCCTCCGACTCCCTCTAGGCTTGCTGCATTAATGAAGCCCTGCCCCCAGTGTGACCCAGCCTTCTTTTCTCTTCTGGTTCAATTCATGGAGGCTCTCCATTTCTCTGCTTTCATCACATATTTTCTGCCGTACTCTCTGCAAGTGCTAAATGTTAATTTCCACATAATTTTTGCTATACAAGTATAACTTATTAGACTGATATTTTTTGTATGTATTTGTATTTTGCTAAAAGCACTTACCATGATAGCAAACTGAATTGTATCATGTCACGTTCTGTATTTTGGAGAAGTGGGTTTTTTAAATTCATTTTCTTATTTGGCTGTTTGAACTTACAAAATATCAAATATTTAACTACTATTTTTTAAATTTTATGTATTTGGTACAGGTTCTTCCTGTGCAGCTCGGACTTCAGTGATCCTCCTGCTTCTGTCTCCCCAGCACTAAGACTACAGGATTGTGCCACCAAGGCCTGTCTTGGTGGTGGGTGTGGTGCACTCAGGGTGGGGCTGGCAAAGCTGTGGTACCTAGGATCGAACCTGGGTTTTTACGCTTGCCTAGGCAGGTGTTCATAGACTGCTGAGTTACCTCTGTGGCCCCCTTAACTACTATTTAATTTTGAAGAATAGAATTTTGCTTGCTAAAATGTTTCTTAGAAGAAATTGTGGTGACTGAATTTTTATTTGAGTGGAATAAAGTCTATTTATCATACAGTCATCCAATTCTAATTAATGAAGCAAATTAGAAAAATCCTAAGCAAAGAAAGAACGTTGACAATAAAGACAAGAAAAGCAGCAAATTAAAGAAAATGAAACATAAAAGGGAGGTAGAACAAGCAAAATTCTTTAAAGGGACTTTTGAAACTTATAAAGTTTTAGTGTAAAGAAAAAAATAAATTTCGATAACTAAAATGAAAATATGTAAAACTGATACCAAGAATTAATAAGACAGTAAATATTGTAAGTGGTTATGAAAAAGGTTTAGTTACATGTAAACTCTATATCATGTGGTTATATGCCTAGAAACACATCTGTTAATAAAAAATGTCTTGAGCAGACATAAAATATAAATAAGAAACTATGAAATAAATTACATATACAATGGAAATAATTCAAAAACTTTTGGAGCTTGTCCTCTGAATAACTAACAAAACAAAAAGCCTTATTTGTTATTGAATGATCTGGGAAACATGATAGAAAAGGGAAATAAATAGGACACTTTAAAAATGGAAATTACTGATTAAAAGAGGTAAATTGTGGATAATTTACAGATAAGACACTGGATTTAGTAAGTTTATTTACAAGGGAAATGGACAGAAATGCAACATTGAAAAAGAGCTTTATTCCACTTTCTTCTTTTTCTTCTCTTCAGGTTCTATAATAAATGAGTTAAATATTTTATATTAATAGCATTTATAATATAAAAGATAGATTAGTCTTTGAGTTAAAATTGTACAATAAAATGAAATGGTTTTTAAAAAAATTAGAAAATCTAAATAAATTAAAGGAACCTAAGTAAGCCAAGCAGAAAGCTCAATAGTTTTAAAAGATAGGGTCGGGGAGATGGCTCAGTGGAATAAGGCCTCCCTGGCAAGCACAAGGGCCTGAGTTCAATCCCTGGTCCCCCCTCCAAAAAAAAAAGCTTTAAAGAGCTTAACTTGCTAATCCTTCACTATTTTTCCATCACGAATTTAGGAAATATTGGTGCTTTTGTCTTTTCCTCCCTTATGTAGCTATTGGGTTTTTAAATTGTGACACAAGCTTTACAGAGCCTGCCCCACTTGAATTCTCTGGAATAAAAGTCTCTTCTAAATCTGTTGGGTAATAAAGATTCTTTTCAATCCTTATTCTTTTGAATTCTTTACAATGATTATTGAATTAGTATCAGTAAGAACTTGCAGAACACCTCTGAGGTTTATATACCAAACTATCTATAGATTCACAAACATAAGAATGAATGCAAAATATGTACAGATCTGTTAATTCTATAATGATGATATATCCTTGGCACTCTCTCTAAATCATGTTTTGGTTTTTTGTTTTGTTTTGTTTTTGGTGGTACCAGGGATCAAACTCAGGACCTTGCACTTGCCACACACACACTTATTCCACTGAGCTACCTCCTTGGCGTTGGCTCTCCTTTTGTGTGCCAGCTCTGTTGTGTGGAATTTTCTGTAGAGCACTGTTTAGTATGTTTTTCAGTGGAGTAACCTATAGACTCCTGTGGCTCTTGAGCAGTTGAAATGAAAATCTTGAGCGCTGGAATACCTAAATTTTTATTTTTTAATTATCAATTGAATTGAAATATACACATAACACTAGGAATTTATGCACTTGTCAGTGAAATTTAATATAGTATTTGTCCATTCTGTCTTCTCAATATAAAGGACCTGAGAAATAGAATGCTTCTCAACCAGATCAAAGCTACAGGGTGGGGGCCTGGCAATGTTTGCTTTTAAATCACCACCTGTAGGGCTCTCAATGATTTTCAGTTTTTCATCTTAGTGACTCTATCTTCTAGTTTGATAGTGGGAATGTTTCATAAACAACATTTTAATGTTAACTTGTATCTTAAGCTTTTAAATACCATATGAAATCAAGTAACAGGAATTATTTGGAAGTGCCTCTTGACAGATACAGGCAACAATTTCCCATGTTAAGCAAATTGCTACCTTCAAATAATATTCTAGTTGCCTTTACTCCTACTCTATTTTTTTTTTTAGAATTAATGTTTCATACAGTCTCTGGTCATTTGGCATAGAGGGATCCACTAGCTGGCGAACATCTGGGGGTCCAAGTGGAGCAAGGGGTAACAGAGCTCTTCCTGAACAGTCTATGCAAAGCATTTAGGTCACAAGGGATGCAAATGGGGGAGAGTGACAGCGCTGCGGAGCTGTGACACCGTGGGACAGCCTAACAGTACCGTGTGATGGGAGGTGCATTCAGAAGGAGTCTGCAGGGAAGGATAGAAAAAGTCCAGATCACCTTTCAGCCTCTCACTCCAAGCAGCTCAGGGCTGCTGAGCCCATCCCCATGTGTTTAATGCATATCCACATTTAAAGAGCACACAGTGATGTCAAGGCAGTTCTCTTCCAGGCCCACCGAGATGCTGCAGAACTGTCTAAGCATTGTGGGACTAAGCTCAGCGACAGGGATTAAATGAAAATTTCTAGAGTCAGGACCATGGTTTCACTTCCTTACTGAGAAATTCACTTTGTATAGGTTAATGATCCTTTTTTATTCGCACATCTGGCAAACAGGCACAATAACAACTAATAACAGTGACTGGTTCAGAGGTTGACTGTCAATTTTAAGTGAAGTAATTATTGGAACTCTGTGTATACATATATTTTTTAATATGCTGATTTCTACTGGCGTGCTGAAACAATGCTTTTATTTTAATCTCTCTCTCTCAGTCTGTCTGACTATCTGTCTCTCTCTCTCTCTCTCTCTCTCTCTCTCTCTCTCTCTCTCTCTGTACTGGGAATTGGAACTTAAGACCTCACACATACTTCCCAGGCTGGCACTGTGCCATTGAGCTACATATCTGGTCCATTTTCTTCTTCTTAATTTTTAAACCAATTTTGCATGCTTATATCTGATAATATGAACAAGTAATTTGAAGACAACAATATGCAATGTAACAACCATCAGTGAATCCTATCATTTTATTTAGTGAAATTCTGTATTGTGTCTAAAGGTTTGTTCTCTTTAGTATCTTTATTCTCTTTTAAAAATACTTGGGCCTGCAAGATAGCTCAGTGGTCTAAAGAGCCTGCTTAAGCAAGCTTAGGTAGGTTCAGGAGAGCACAGTTCGATCCCTGGCACTACATGCTGTGCCAGCCCTGCCCTCAGGGCAGGCTGAGCCAGCCCCCCAAAACATTCTTTTGGTATATATTTAGAATATCAACATGGTGCATGGTTTTTGTATTACTCACATTGTTGTCTTCAGTATAGTTGCTTAGATCACAGACATCAGCATACAGTTAGCCGAGGTGAAAATTACACACATTACTGCCATTTTCCAAAAACTGATGAAAATTTTAGTACAATCCCCTCAGCCATCCTGTGTATATACTTGCATGTTTCCCTCTGCCTTTCTTTTCCTCTGTTCTCCTTTCTCTTATCTTTGTTGTTTAATGTCATATCAATTATTACTATACTCTTTAAAATAAATTTTTCAAAAAGGTTAAAAAAGAACAGAAAATTTAAGGTTTCTCGAAA